TTCTTAACAGATCATGATCTAATAAAATTATTTTATATTCAATAATATCTTATATTACAATTATGATTATCTGACAAATCTCACAATGTTCCATCTGTATGTTTGTTTCCTAACATCAGTGTAGACTTAATATTTTTAAGCGTATTTGCACATATAACGGTCTTTATTTTTTCTCTTTTTTTTTTTTTAAGGAAGGCAATGTTCGTATTAATTACTAATCTAGAAATACTTGTATTGTTTATTTTACATTGAAACTTTACTTGTATTTCTGTTGTTAGAATTGTCGCATTTGCAAATTTCCGTTGTCTGCCCTATACATTTTGGCGGACAACCGTCTTTTATCGTTTCCGGAGGAGGTTTTATTCCAATATCATAGATCTTAGTTTTCGATGGTTGCTCATATTTGCATATCACAGCATACATATCACCGCCTAAGCGAAGCGCCAGCCATCGATTTTTTACAACAGCCAATTTTAGGCACTCGCACTTCATTTTGGCGTGAAAATTCGTATGTAAGGTTCTACCCATACCCTCGATGACTATAAGATCCACGTTATGCTTCACCATTGCAAGACATAGATCCAAATTTAGACGACTATTAAATAACGCGAAATAATATTATATATTATTAATATTAAAATATCAGTGAATATTACGAAATTGGGGGAGTTATAAAATAGCTTTTTTCTATTAAAAGAAAAATATATAATTGCTTATAATTGTAATTATATATTTAAAAATACATACCTGAGATCTAGACAAGGACCTGCTTGTGCAGTTTCCATGGCAATAAGTGTATTATCTTCTAAAGCCTGTTTGATAACATTACAAATTTTTGCGGCATCCCGTAACATTACAACCAACTCGGGATATGTTACATCATTCAGAGCTGGCAAAGAATTAGCGCATAATATTACCTAAAAATAAACACATAAAAAATTTTAACATAATAAAAAATAATTTTTTCTATTAATTATTTAATAAATTAGTTTCTAAAAATAGTTCGACATTTTCAAAAAGATTGATTCAAGTACGATTAATGTTAATAGAACTAACTTTAGTTCCTCGTTGCAATAAATCTCGCGCAAATGGCAAAATTCCAAGAATTATATCTACACCACTGTTGTCTACAAAAATGGCTGCACATTTGTGAGACTGTCCATTCTGTAATCTATATATCCAATCATCTAAATCATCCTCTAACCATGGTCTACCTGTTTTTACAACATGATATTTTTAGAGTTTTATTAAAATAATACAAAGCCAGAAAAAATGTATTGAAAGATACAGTTGTAGTAGTCGAGAGTGATTGCAATACTGATTTTTTACTTAATAATAATAATAGTTTACCTGGAATTTTTGCTTGAGCTTCTTCAAAGCCAAAATCATTAGTTTCCAATAATTTTGCAACATCTTTTGCACCCCAATCAAATATATTACCACTCAGAACACCGAGGATCAAAGCTCTTATTTTTTCTGCACCTTCTAACTTATCTAAAGTCGTTATGCGATTGTGTAAATGTCTTAAAGCTTCCTCGTTCTCTTTCTTTTTTTGCTACAAATAAGCCAGTATGTGTAATATATAAATTTTATGTCTTGATAATTTAAAAAAACGTAATTTGAAAAAGACCACTTACATGTAAATATGGATCCGGAAAATCAAACTCCTTCATACAATGCTCAATAGTATCCAGTAATATTCTAACTGTAAGTGCCCCATATGCACTGCAAGTTAAAAATTATACGATTTAGTTCGTATATATACATATGTAAATAATTTATCTATTATTAGTATTTCTCATGATGGAAAACTTACACTGGTTGCGTATGAAGATAATGTAACCTATTAATGTACTTTTCCTTAAGTTTTGATCCTCTATCCTTTGCCGTCGGACTATGCGATTGACTGTGAATAGCTCTCGACACAAATTTATCCACGGACTCTTCAAAACATTGTAACCAATAATCTCTAAACATAAATATTTTATTATTTAGCTTTGCATAATCGTAATTTTTAAAAATAATTGAATAATAATCTCTCATACCTGGCCTCCTTATCCTGAGCGAGATCTGTAGTATCAGGATTGTAAGATGCAGGATCTTTCAATAGTGGACAGAATGTAACAGCGTATTCTGCTTGATCAATTTCCAATTGATCGATCTTCATTCCGAGGTCAGTTGTCACGGAATCCTTAAAACCTGATGAACCGGCATAATTTTCCAGCCAGCTGTATTTGTCTGATTGTTCAGTGCCATACAAATATGCTCCAATCGCACCAAGGTAACCTTCATGGCGAAGAAAGAGAGGCTTTACCTTACCCTAGATAATGGATATGTGACAGCAACATAAATATATAGAAACACATAATTTTCAAAGAGCCTGCATTTTACTATAATCTTTTGCTAATTATATAAAAATGATTTAATTAAAAAAGATATAATTATGTCCCAAAAAAAGAAAAAAAAAGATACATTGTAAAGCATGGAGAGAAGCAAATGTAGAGACTAACGTGAGACCAGTATTTGATGGAGTATGAAATGGTATGCATCGATAATGGATGGTTACGAAGGAAATAACCACCAAAATAAACCTTATCCATATTGTATACGGTCGCATATAAACTAGCAATGTGCCCAATATCATTACTGATGGTGAGCAACAAACTCCTTGCAAGATCAGCTTCAGAAAATTGTGGCTGTCCTGAAATGTTATATATTAATATAACTAATATAAATTAGCCAATGCATATTTTAATTTCTTTCACTCAAACTAGATAATAATAACTAAGAATTTATTATAATGATTTGTGTGATGTAGAAATAATTGTCATTGTTTATGATATTATTTAAATACATATTTTAAGAGAATGCATTTTTGACAATAACCATTTGATATAACGCTTATATATATTTATGCTTACCACAAGCCACTGCTTTGCCAAAAGATGATGCAATAAGCTCTCCAGGTAAACCTTGGGAGGAATAATCGCCTCCATAAATATCTTTTACTAACATATCTACATTACGGTGATCCCCTCGTTCTGCAAGTTGCAGCAATTCATCAAAGTCCTAGCAGGGTGTTTTTAAAGTCATTGTTTTAATACATATCTCTATATATATAATTCACATGACTCAATGGAGTGCTAAAGTGGAGCAGAATCTTTTCATATAATGAAATAATTCATTTTACCATGAAATTTCATTTTGAGCAGATTTGTAAAAATTAAAAAAAAAATGATACATTCAAATAATACATCAATTTGCAATTGTTTAACAGTAATAAAAAGAAATAATGGGCATAGAAATTTAAGAAATTATAAATTCTATACCTTTTTTTTTGTCAGTAATGAACCTAATCCCCAAAATGTACCTCCTCCTGTAGCTGTACCTCCGACTCTTTCAAATACTTCATCTGATTCTACCTATAAAAATTAAAAAGACTCTTAAAAGTTCATTTATTTACTATAAACACAAATTTATTAAATATCTATTACTTACTTTAAGAATACTGACGCCACTGCCAACGTTAACTAGCAAATATGGAAATATGTTAGGTTCAGCTTTTTGAAATTTATACTCTGGATTTTCATGACGATGATATTCAAAAGCTTCGCATGGTATATTTTTAAGTAAGAAATTACAGCCTTTTATCAGACAGTCTATCTCATCCTCCTTGTCAACTCTAAAATTTTATCTTATCAATCAGTAAACATGATGTTGAGAGTTTCATATGTTATATATTAGAAGTTGAACAATGTTAAATTAAATATATATTATATATAACAAGATACTATTTTTAAGATTTATTTTTAATATTTATATTAAAAATTTAATTAAAGATATCCATAAAAGCAATTTCAAAATTTTAAAGAATTTAAAATTTATATTTTAAGTAAAATTTAAGATATAATAATACTTACAATAATCCTAATTTCTCTTGCAGCAAAGGAGTATATTTAAATGCTCCACCTCCGGTTATTTTAATGCTTTTCCCATGAAAGCGTTCAACATCTACTAAATTCTTTTTGACAAAATCTAAGCAATTCTCAATATATCTTGTTTCAAACTTAACAAAGTGTAGTCTGCTACCCTCAAATACTTTGTATGCTCGTTCTCCACTATTTCCTAAACCTTCTGCATCCTCATAAAGTGCCTTGCGATAACTTATCGTTGAATAATAGGCAATTTTCGTTAATGACAATCCTGAAATAATATACATTAAATTTGTATAATACAAATAATATGAAGATATTTATTTACTTTTTTTGGAGGGCAAGCAATAAGTAACTGATAATTGTCTAAGGTCGATCGAATTTAACTGTGTAATTTAACATAATATACATAAATATAACATGATACTTGTTATATATTAACAGGTATTATGTTACACAGTAAACGGAGACGCAGTAGATAATTAGATTTTTTTATGACAGTTTAAACTAGCGCAACGAGATAGAAGATGATGATGCAAGAGTTAATTTTAAGAAGCCAAATTGAAGAAGATGCAATCCCGAAAGGATCATTTGGTTTTGATTGTATAACGTACCGATGTCTATGGCGAAGGTTTGCGCATTTTTCAGATTGGCGAATACTTCGACAGCCGGCGGCAATTTGATGCATTGCGGATGCGAATGTTCGCCGTCAATTTCTGCTGCCATTTCCGCGTCACAAATGACAATTTGTCGATTTTCCCAGTATGATTGACACCTACTTGACTGTTCACGCGCATTTAACGACTGGCAGGTGGCGATTGTACTACACCTACATGATCGATGCGTGTGAGTCAGATGCTAGACAATGCTAAGTAAGATGCTTTGATTTATGTAGCCGATGTAAACATCTGATTTTGGGAGAGCGGGGAGAGACTCCGAGAGGGAGTTTCGCTCTTTCTCACTTTTGCTTATATACTACTTATTTATTTACTCATGTTGCGCATGCGGAGTATAATATATACGTTTAGTTAAGGTTAAGGTTAGGTAATAGTAAGTCTAAAATTGACATTATGTCAACTTATCTTTATTTTTTAGATTTATTTCTCTATGGGTTCCATATTTACATATCTGTCCAGAATAGCATATTTTATTTAATTTTAGAGGATAGATAAATATGTGAGCTCTTTTTACCGGTTCTAGTTTTTTTGTGTTGCATATATTAATGTGTAACTAATATATTAGTAAAGTAAAGTCTAAAGTATTATTAACTACTAGTTAAACAGCTGATTTACAAGATATACAACTTTTAAATAAAATTTTAAGTTTAGTCTTAGATTCTGCTTACATCATAGCTTACAGGTATCTCTTGAAACATTATGTTATGTATATTTTGTCATAATTTATAGGTGTCTGCTGAAACATTATGATATTTTAATTAGAATAGATTTGTATTAATGACTACTGATGTGTTTATAATAATATGTACATCACGCGCGCATATATTTACATACATCAATATAATGTAATTATCTTTCTAATATATTAATAATTTTGCAATTTACATAATTCATGTGTCATGATTTTAACAGACTCCTTACAATTACACCATACTATATGTGTATCGTTTATCGCAGTTATATTAAAAAATACTATAAATTAAATATATCTATACAGTTCAAAATTTAATAACTTTGAAGATTTACAAAGTTCCATATAGATTATAAACTTTTTATGCTACAAAAATAGTTGTTTTTGATACACCACTAGAAGATGATAAAGTAAAATATTAAAACCATTAAAAGTGAAATTGCAAGAAATTTCCATTACTAAAATTGATAAATTTATTGTATTCTATTAATTCTGTCGTTTGCAAATGTTAAATAAAATTTTGAGTCAAAATCTTTAACTAAAATTAATTTATCTTTATATACGCAATATATACATTATTAAATATACTTTATCATAAAATAACAAAAATCACTTTTTTTACAAAATCCTGTCCTTCGTTTAAGAGAGCTTAGAATTTTTCTGCTTCAAGGACAGCAAAGATTTAAACTTATTACTTTGTAATAAGTTGTATGAGCCATATGTACAAAATTTATAAGATATAAATGGAATGTAGAAAGCTCTGAAAAGTGGATGCGATCTGTAACATAAATGATAATAGATTATGTTAGATGTGAAAGAATATTCCTAATTACAGTTGCCAGATATTGAATATATGAATAAAACTGTTAAACTTACTTTGATGCATCTAAGAATTTAGAAGATTTTATAATAGTAAATTGATCACTTAGGCGAGAATAATTCGGTTCTAAGGCTGTTTCAGTTCCTATATCCAGATCTAACAGAAAATGGCACTTATCTAAATTAAACTAAAAGCAAAAGAGAGAAAGAGAAGTATTGATAAAGTATTGATATAACTATAAAATTTAATAACTTGTAATATCTTGTTATAAAATAAGTACTTACATAGCGGGATGATTCCTCTTTATTCATATCATTAAAATGTGCTTGAATTACACTTGTCGCATTTTCATGATCTAAAAAAGGTTGCGGTAATTGTCCTTTAAATTCAGATCTCAAGTATTGTAACTTCCAACTAAAAACAGTCCAACATTGTATATAAGAATAATACAATCGTATTAGATTAACGCAAAATGTGTGTTTCAGTGCATTGTAATATGTGGAAGAATTAGAAAAGAATATATTCTTTAATTAATTCAGAGCTAATTTTTGGGCTCACTTATTGGAAGGAAAGAAAAAACTGCTAGGAAAACGATGCCACTCTTTCCCGATACAGAAATTTATATTAACATCGTTGGGTACCTCGCCTTCTGTTCCAAGCTTGTTAGCTTCAAACATAATTTCCATAGGAGCATAATATCCTAATATAATAAATAAATAAACTTTATTGTATGTTAAGTAATATTAGTTGTATAAATTATTAGCGATATAAATTGTTATTCAAATAAAAAATAATTGTAATATATATCATAAAAGATATATGAGATATATAAAACCTTTATATATCGCCAACGATCTTGACAATCCCAAGAGGCCACTCATTAATATCGCCAGAACGGTAATGTGTGTAGTATATTGTAAGTAGTGACAACTGATATGTGATGAATTGAATTTCGTTCTAACAAAAAAGTATAACTTTTGTACGATATCCACTGCTATCGCGCCTGCCAAACAAATCATAGGATATACTGGAAACAAGAACCGTTCCTCCTGTTGACAAATTTATCTCGTTAATTTCTTAGTTTTCTGTTTTATAGATCAATGCATTTGTAATATTAAGGAATAAAATAGAAGCACACACATTTGAATCTAAATATTGCAAACAAAAGAATTTTCAATATTTTTCAAGAATGCAGAAATATGTTGTTTAAATGAGTATTCATGTGTGTATCCATTCTTTTCTTAATAATGTAATGTAATGTAATAATGTCAATATTATTTTTTATACATACTTTGTGCGGTTGAAGGAAGAACACGAAAATCCACAGATATAAAGGCGCCAGTGAATACCAATAAGACAGGCATAAACGATCTCTTTGCCGCGCTGGCACGATCAACCATACTAAAAACTATATAAGATAGTAATTAAAATAATGCCAAAATATACCATACGTTACACAAGGTGTTGCAACTATCGCGCACTTTCTTTTGTTCAGTGATAAACGATTTAAATAAAATTTTGGAGATCCGAACAATGAATGTTCTGCTTATTCAATTGTCAATTATAAATAAATTTGATTTAGTGTCAAGATATCATAGTATTTGTACAATAGTAAAAGAGTTCTGTAAAAATATAATATACACATCAAATCTTTTGGATTAGGAGAAAATATTAATTACATTTCATTAAAGAAAATTTGTAGTTTATAAAAAGTGCGCGATTTTCAAGGTATTCTATATATGTAAAATATGAACTGAAAAAATTCTTACTAAACCCAAGGGTGCAAGTAATGCGCCGATAAAGACAAAGTTGAAATTCAAGAATCCATTAACAACATAATAACTGAATGGTTCAGTGCCATAAAGATTAGGTCCATGATTGGTGAAAACATTGTACAATATAATGTTTATTGGCGCGGCGACAAATTTGCCGAAGTATAAGGAATCCACCCATACCATTGGTACTCCAATTACAACAGCTGATATAATAACCCACTTTATAAATTTGCTCCATTCTCGCCTGTGTATTAATATCTCAATGGCAATAGGAAGACTAGAAAGTGAGATAAAAGAAATAAAGTTATATATTATTATTTACGTTATATATTACGATATATATTATTTACGTTAGTATACAAATTACCCGAGTAATGCAGCAAATGGCCATCCAAGTAACGAAGAAATGGCAGTAGCAAAAATAGCAAGTTCATACTGGCGAGCATACCAAGCTGCTGTAGCGACAGTACTTAAATACCTGTGACAGACATTAATGTAATGTAGATAAATTATATATCAAAATTTATATACATATTTCTTATCTTGTAACTAATTCTTACATTGAAAAAGATGATGGTAAAAATGCAGCACTAGAAATATACATCCCGGAGCTGAGAATAAGAAATGCTAATGTAAGCCTTGCTACATGAACCCCGAATTCACGACAGACATTTCTGGAAAATATAAGAGATTACAAGTTGTAAAGCAAAGTTAAGATTTGCTCTGCGATCATGACTCATATACCATATAGATATTATCTAGTTTTATAAAAAATCAAAACATACTTGTAAAAGTATACTTCACATAATGCACAACCCACTGACAGGAAGCATCGTATAAAATAGAAAACTAGCATAGGATTTGGTTCCAATAAATAATGATAAACTTTTGCTGGTACCATGTGAATTAATAGGTACATATATGAACGTAAGGCATATTCAGGACTATATTCCCATGTTTGCTGGCCTGTTCCATAGAGCAAATAATGACTCTAAAACAATTCAGAAGATAATATAGATGGTGTATTACATAAAAAAAAAAAAAATATATATGAAAAATTAAAGAATAAAATTTATCTATTCCATTCATAACAATATGTTTTTTGAAAGAATTAACTGCATATCTTTGATATTTTGATTAAAATGAAAATTAACTCCAAATGCAACAAATATAATGTGTAGCTTAAAAAAATTATAATAATTTTTGAAATAGTATAGTGCATATTTATAATATTAAATTATATTATGAATTCACCGGTTCCCAGTAATTGTATGTTTCATCACAATCTGTTATATGACTCCATATAGCGGAACAAAATCTTGCCGATAGCAGCAGTTTGAAAGCTGTATCATAGCCAGGATAAATAAGTCCCACATCGGAAGATTCTTCTGGCCTGAAATATACTTGTTTAATTTTTTGTTCCATATTTCTTGTTCTTTTATATTTTAACTAGTATTATTCACAGTATGATTCCTAGACAGAATTTTGTTTTGTGATTGAAGCTTGCAAAATTATAATTATTTAAAAAAATTATGTGATGAGAATATATATAATTTTTCTGAATACGCGACTGAAATATTATCTGCAATAATTAATATGCAGGATGTAAGATTTCTCTTTTACTATTCTAAAATTTATAAATTCACGTATCTTGAGTATCGAAATTAAAAAACTGAATATCAAATATAATGTAAAATAAAATATAAAAAATTAGCATTAATTATATGAATATTGTGAAGGATATGCTTTTTAGGCATGCATATTTGTTTTTGTCCAGTGTTTCCAATAGGTCACACTAAAAGGTTAACCGGTATGTGAATTGAATGTTTCACGCACCAGAAATGTTTACGAAACTGTCTAAAGGAAGGGGGAAAAGGAAAGGGAGAAAACATTTTATATACTTTGAAAATCTTCTTCCATTGATTTTTTTCAATTCTTTCTTCGATAAAACGAGCTGACGCTGACGTTGATTAGGCGCCATGATCGTTTCACAGACTTTATCTATTATCCTCTCTCTGCTATTATCTACTGAGAACACATTATGTATATTTATCAATGTTAAAAATCAATACCAGAAAGTATAATCAAAACCGTAATTAAAATCTTTCATCGAATATTCTCGTAAAATTGCAAAAATGATTTGATTTTTTTTTCAACAAGGCAAAGATACGCAAAAAAAAGAAAGAGAAATGATTATAGAGAGAATTCTGCTTCCGCGTGTCCATTTAAATTTAAATCTGTATAGTGTGCATTTTAAAGAACATTCTTATAATTAAAGATTATCTCATATTATTTTAAGATTTTATTTCATATGTGATAAATTGTACGCGCGTGCGTAAGCGTCTATTTATTATTTCCATAGTGATGACAAGTATGTAAAAATGGAGATTGATCCGAAATTCACGTTTGTGCCATTGAAAGAAAAAACTTATATCAGAATTAATGATAGAAATTCGCAAGAGTATCTTTGCAAATGGTAACATTAATATTTATTTTAGTATAATACAATTTTTATATCGTAGATGTTTAATTTTTTAATTAATGAATACTTTATATTCCCTCGATAAAAGTAGTGATAATTATTTTCAAACGTGTTAAAAATTATTTTATTGTTTTATTTCATAGGGGTTTGAAAGGAAACTTTGTTATTCAGAATTTTTCATTCAACGAACAATTTCAACAGTATCACAAATATCAGCTGGCTGATGTAAGTTTTATGTTTTGTTTTAATAAACGAAAATAATAATTCCGGATATTTTAACGAAAAATCAAAATCGAATTTTCTTCAAATATAGTATTAAAACGAAGGTGATAGAATAGACATCAAAATTAATCTTTTTGTTGTATATCAAATATTCGAATTAACTTAATTTCTAACTATGGGAACAAAAATGTAAAGAAAATATATATTTATTCAATGATATATATATGTCTATGTTATGTTTATTGGAATTTATAAATTTGTAGGCGTTTTTTAAAGACGACTCCGTTGCAAAAGTATTACTGTCTAAACAGGGCAATGCCTGGGTAAAGCAAGGTATATTAAGTATTAATATATTTGTAATCTTCAACAAATCTGTTATCTGTTAGCTTCTTCTATAAATCAATTTTCTATAAATCAATCAGTCGAATGAAGAGATTTCTGCTGTTAGGTATACAAGCGTCGAGTGTGGAGATAAAGCAAGTGCCATGTTCCGTCTTATGTATGTCTTTCTTTAATAAATTAAAGGATCCAGATAATGGGATAATTCGTGGTTCTGGAACGATCTGTAAAAGATATGATATGCAAATAGAGGAATTTTTGGTATCCGATAATTTACATGGTGTAAGACACTTTTATTAGAAATAAACTGTATTGTGATATTTCACATTGTTTAACAAAAATTTATTAAAGTTATAGAAAGTTTATCGAAATGTGTTTAAATAATCTTACATAACAAACACTAAGAGGCATATATGTTGTGTATCAGAAATTTTTCTAATGTATACATATTATTCTTATTTAGATGCTTTTAGACGAGGAATCAGAAGAATACAATCTGTATTCAAGAGAGGAAAGAAATGAATTTGTGTTTCGAATTTTTCAAATGCTCGTTCTTGGCGGAATATTATGCCAATTTGAGGATGTGTTAGAACCATATCTAGATGTTACTAAAAGTATCTATAAGGATCTTGTGAGGTTATTAGAATATTTATATTAAATTTGTTTTCAACGAAATATAGGACGACGAGAAATTTAATGCTGCTTCTTCTAGGGTGCAGAAACAAAGTACCTCGAATAATTTATTCGTAAGTACTTTGGTATTAGAAGTAATTGCTAAGGATAGCAAAGGCCAAGATTACTTTCCATCTAATTCTAGTAACAGGCAAAATATTGCGTTTCTATTGATAGACGCTGATTCTCGCGAAATCACATCCTTTGTACATCAGTATGGCGGGTACTGTCCTGTGGACTGAATCTGATTACATTATATATATTTCATTCTATTATAAATATATCATACTTATTATTTCTCTTATGCATATTTCCTTAATTCGTGTTAGTCAGATAGTATGTTTGACTAGTATATAATCCTAGTATATCTGCGTAATAGTCTTATAAACATAATAGTTTATATAAAATGATTTATGACAATCAATATCAATATAATATACTATATTTGTATTTCATACAAGATAATTTATTGAATTATAAATGATAAATTATCAATTGTGAGCTTAATTATATTTATAATTATCCTTATCTGCATTTTTTCTATATATATAATATAATTTATATATAAATACAATTTTCTTGTTATGTATGTCATGTGTAGAAAGTATTATTTGATTAGAACGTATATAATTTATATATATAAATTATATACACACGAGCCATTCAATTCGTGGCCAAAATTATTAAAACAAAAAAGAAAAAAAAACCCTGCTATTACATGGATTTAATTCATCTGAATTAATTTATATTACACTCTAATATTATTTAGTCGAAATTATATTTCATCCAATTAAATATAAACATAACTGAAACATTTACAATGTAAATTTCTTGGCGCACAATACTGCTACATATATTAATTTTATTATTGCCCTTCTTGCATACATTAAATAATTTTTTGCAAAATATATCATCATAATATTTATAGAAGTTATATTGTATATAT